GCAGTTATTTTCAAGACTCTGAAGATAAATAATACAATCCATAACTAGTTGTTCCCTTAACAAAACAAAAGATCCTCTTTGCTGCCGATGTGAGCTTCTTGGCTTTTCCACATAACCAACTCCAAATAATATGTGTCTTTTGCATGATAGATAACACAGAAATCCCAAAATACTTTTATATAGTATATGGGATTAGCTAAAGCTCCTTCTCCTTCTTCAATTAATTTAATTCCATATTCAATTGAATTGTCCACATTACAACAATCTTCCTAGCAAATTTCTTCAAAACTTTTATTGCATACTTGGCTTGTGAAAAGAAGATTCCATCATTGCAATACTTCTATTCTTAGAAAATAGGCCATGAGACATAAGTCTATCATTTCAAATTCATTCACCATGGATTGCTTGAAATCTTGAATCATGGTAGGGTCATTCCTTGTGAAGATTAGATCATCAATGTATAAACAAACAAATATTACTTTGCCTTGTAAACTCTTCTTCACATATAATGCATGTTCACAAGGACATCTTGCAAATCCATTTTGTGCATAGCCATCAATTTTGAAATTTCATGTTTTTGGTGCTTGTTTAAGCTTATAAAGAGCTTTCTTCAATTTGCATACCTTCTCTTCTTCTTCTTCTACCACAAATCTAGCAGGTTATTCTACATGAATTTTCTTTTCAAGACTGTCATTCAAGAATACTGACTTGATATCCATCTGACATATCTTCTATCTTTTTTGAGCTGCTAAAGAAATCACAGGTCTCATTTCCATCCTTGCTATTGGAGCGAAGACATTTTTATAATCAACTTCATTTTGTTGTTTATTATACCCCATTGCTACTAATTTGGCTTTACAATTTTCAATTTTATCCTTTTGCTTTGCTCTTTATTTTGAAGATTCATTTTACTCCTATTGCATTGTATCCTTATGGAAGTGTTGTCAATTCCCACTTGTTGTCTTGATAAAGGAATTATGAAGCTGATATGCCAATCATAGATGATTTTGATTTTTATGAGGATGGAGGATAGAAAGAACCCCATGCAAGAAGGGAACGATAGACAGCAAGCCAGCCTGATGGCTGAAGGTGTAGTTGGAGAAAGTGAGCACAGAAATGCAGTTACCATACCAACTGATATAATCAAGCAAATGAGGAAGAGTTTTGCTCAAGTTATCTGCCTGGATGAGTCTTACAAAGCAGGCACTGTTACTGATAGGGTGAGTTCTGGCTCTGATGGTTCTGTGGGACATTTCAATGTTTTATAATCAACTCTAAAGGTGGGACATTTCAATGTTTTATAATCAACTGATAGGGTTACTATGGTTTCGCTGTTTTATAATCTACTCTAAAATATATTAACTATCACATTTCAGTGCTGCTGGACCTATTACTAGAGACAAGAGCAAAAGCTATGCTAACAGCATCTTTCAATACCCCTTAATCAATTAAATTTACTTAGGAGTTAAGACAGTTGTGACCCAATAACAATTAACTCTCAAAAGTCTCATTCACAGAATTAAAAATTTTTAGTCTTAATGACATTATTATTATTATTATTCTCGGACACGCATTCACATACTAAGATTCAGATTCTTCAAGTATTGGATCTTAAATATTCCATACCCATAGTAACATTGTATTAACAATATATATATATTGAGAACTTAATGAAATACGAGAGTTTTATAACGCAGTTATTATGGCTTAACAAGGAAGGGAATACAAAATCTCAAATGACTTGGAAAACTTAATTACAAAAACAAATTTCCTTATCATAATTATACTTAAAAGGTGTATGAGTAAAAAACATATAATCAGGAAACTAAATCACTTTATCTAATAACTTTTCACTTGATTAAATGATTCGTATCATGATTTTTTTTTCTATGAACATGTTAAAAAAACGAAGAAGGAAGCATGCTCATGTAGTGGAAATATCATTGAATTCACATTTCAAACATCAAAACCGCATGATGTTTGGTTAGAACCGTGGTATTATCTTGTAAAAAATCAAACTCCACAACTCATTAATTTGAAAAGGCATAGTTGCAATTAATACTCAAAAGCAATGCTTTTTTAAATTATCAAGGCCACAGCTTCATTAGAGTCCATATTAATTGTAGAACAAGAGAAAATACAAATAAATCTCCCTTTATGATCTCTTAGAACTCCACAAATTCTTAAGTTCTTGGATTGCCAAACTCGTCAATATTCCATTTTTGCACGCCTAAGAAGAAGATATCGAAGATGAATTACTTTTTATTTTTATCTTATTAGTCCATATAAAAAGATTATTTGATGAACGTAATAAATCTTATTCAGTAAAACATAAACTCACATTTCGTTCAAATTACAATAAGGCATATCATCTCAGTCTATTTTTCTCTCACTAAAAATTAGATTATTTTGAGCATTTAAAACATATTAGACTATACCAAAGAAGAAAAAAAGCACCATATTTTTTATTTTATTTTTGGATAGATCCTACTACCATGTCATTCCATAATAATAATAAAAATAGCTATCTAGAAATTAAAGCAAGATCCATTGTTGCCAATCAATGTATCAGCCAAGACCATAACTTCCAAAACATATCATAGTATAGTAAAATATGTTTTGTAGGTTCAATCTTTTTTGGTAAAATAGACTGGTTAAATCATTATCTCTTAACATATCTTTTCAATATCGAAAATCTTTTGTTGGCAATTTATTCAAAAATAAAAATACTTAATAATCATACTAAACCCCTTGAGTGACGATGGAAAGAACTCAATGGAATAATGAGACTGAACATATATATTTGCTTCCGAAAACATTTAATTCAGCTGAGATTCATTCCAGGATCTCGAGTTATTGGGATTTGAGATACCCAATAAACATGTTTATGAAATATCTCAATACAATAAAAATTAATTAAGATTAATGAACAAACTAAAATTAAAAAAATAATAATAAAGATATTTTCTTCAATAAAAAAATTATGATTAAAAAAAGAATTTTAATCAACATCATCAGCCACTTCTCTTTCATCAGCATATCATATCTATATACACTATATTTCATTCTCCCTTAAAATATGTTATCAAATTTTGAACAAGGATTGTGGAAAGGAAAAAAAATTCTAATATGATCTTTAATGGTAACTTAAGTATAGAATAAGTTTCACATTTGTATGGTGAGGGCATTACAAATTAATACAAGTGATGACAGAGCGCAGGCCTTCAATTATTGAAATTAACTCCGAAGAACACCACCCCAGCAATTCCAGCTACTTCCAGCGCAATATCCACTGCCACTGGAACCCACGTGAAGTTACT